CTGCTCCGCTGCGGCGATGGACGCCGCTGGCACGGCCGAGCTGCCGCCGCCAACTGCCTTTCCTGAGGCCGGAGCAGTCCCTGTTCGTACGCCTTGCTGGAGTTCTGCTCGAGCTCTGACACTGCGGAGGGCTCAGCTCTTGTCAGGAGGCATTGGGCGTCTGGTTGTCACGTCGCTTGTGGAAACAAAAATAACAAAGGTAGTGGGTTGCGTCTGGAATGCTGACTGGAACTAGAGCCCTAAAACTGCAATGTTGGTAATATAATTTGAGGTTATCTTGCCCTGCCTAGGTAATAACTTCAAGTTTCTTAACGTCCATTTTAGACAAAATGAATTTAAATTCTCTTTAGCTGTTACGTTTAGATGTTGTCAGAACTATATTTGTTTGCTTTATAGGTGAAAAATCCTAAAGATGAACAGCAATGCACTACACGTGTCTTCAAAGCTGCCTTGGCTAGAAGTGGAATGTAGTTTCCTGACAGATCTTCTTACAAGGAAGTTGTAAATCCGTTCTAATGGCCAACAAGAAAGAGCCTCCTTTTTTTAATAAAGATAATATGGGACCATTTCACTACAAACTTCCTTTCTATGAAACTATGGAGCTCTTCATTGAAACGCTTACAGGAACCTGCTTTGAACTGCGAGTTTCCCCCTTTGAAACAGTTATTTCTGTGAAAGCTAAAATTCAAAGACTGGAAGGTACTATTCTCTCTTATTTCAGTGTAAACTTTATCACTTTAGAAAAAGTTCTGTTTTAAAAAACATAATTACTAAAATCACACCAGACAACTTAAATGTCGTGTATAACAATATGTTTGAAAACTAGGTGCTTAGGTTTAATTGAAGTTGAGTTGTTTTTCTGTTCTTTCTGTTTGCTATATGTTCATGGCTTAGGCTTCACTGCAGTTGGTATGTTTGCTCTTCTGATGGGTTGGTTGGGGGTTTTTTTATGTACAATTATTAAGGTAAATTGTAAAAAGTCTGTGGATTCTCTGACTCAGATTGTTTGTTAACTAGGAAGGTTATAATTTGAGCCATGCAATATATGTGTATTGTAACTGAGCATACTTTAGATTTGCTGCTATGTTTGTTGCTGATCAGGTTAGTCAGTTTATGGTTTTTTTATGATACTGCAGTCACAAGAGCAACTGCAGTGCAGGCAATTCCCAAAGGCAGCTTTAAGTTCCTTATTTGAATTTTGTTTAGGTGAGTGATCTTTTGCTGTTAGACATCTGGCTGAGCAATGCTTTGTCTTAAAGTGATAAACTTGATACATTTTGCCAAGTGAAAATCTCCTTTAAGTCATGAGGCCAGTCCTGATGCTTATGCAAGAAGAATAAGTGCAGGTTACCTCTCTTACCTCTTTTCCTCTATGGTGAGGATGACCTTGCATGAGAGAATATGTTTTGAAATATTTATGTGTTCATAGTCTTAAGTATTGCATCCTCTATCTTCTTTTTCACTTTGGAGGGGTTAAAGAACTGTACAGCTGTAGAAGCTGAGAGTATCAGAGTTGCTAATTTTAAGAAAAGGGATCCTCTCCTTCCCTAGTCCAGCTGTGTGTGTTTTTCATCCTTCTGTCTGTGTGGAACCCATCCTCTGGGAGATGTAATATAATACTGTTGACTGGAATCTAAGATAACTCTCCTCCTCTTATGGAAATCTGCTCTGGTGGATGGAAAAAACCCCAGACAGCTGGCACAAGTGTTAAAACACACAAGCATTGCAACAACAGAGGGGATGTTTACTGGTAGGATGCACACAGCAGAGCTGCACTGTGCAGTGACTGGATCTTACATCTGTGTAGGTGCAGCAGTGCAGCTCTGGGGGTGGCCTTTTGTTTGCTGTGGACAAAGCTGTAATTAATCACAAGTCAGAGAATGTGTCAAGATGTTCCTGGAGGCTCGAGGTGAAACAAGAAAAGGAAAGGGGTTTTCCTGCCTGTAATTGAATATAGGTGCAGGAGACATGGGTAGAACGCTGAGTAGCAGTGAATTAATAGGTAGCATAGGCAGTAGAGAACAGAAGAAGGCAGGCAAGCTGTCTGGGCAGTATCGGTGGTGCTTTAAGAGATCACTGGGATATGTGAGGAAGAGAGATTTGAATTCCTTGTAGTCCAAAATGTGAGACTGTGATAGCCATACTCAGTTATACCTACAGCTTACAAAAGTATTCTCATTTCTTAATAGAAGAACAGCTCAGTAATGAAGTTTTAATCATGCTTATCTGGAATTTTGTTTGCATGTTGTAGTTCATAGGGTGGTAAAGTAATTATGGCTTGGCTGCTTGCGATATGGAATTAATAGTAAGTAAATTCCATTAAACATGGAAGATGAGTTTACTGGTGCTTATCATTGAATTCTCAGCAGTCAGTTGAAATACTTTGATACTTCATAGTAGAGTTAAAATATTTGTATTGTCCTGATTAGCGATTTGTGGAAGGCAGAGTGAAAACAAATTGATCAATTATGTCTGGACAAAACAGATACACAATGACAAATTAATTTTATGTTGCATTTGGGGTTGCTATTGCATGTAAAATAATAATTAACAATTTTTCAGTGACAAAGTTTCTATTATAGTGCACAAGTTCAAGCAGTAAATTACCCAGATGGAGCAAAAATTCAAAAGTAATTTTGTTGTAGTTTAGCATGGGAAGGAGAAAACTTATATCTGTTCCTGTTTCTGCTGCTAGTATTTACTTTTTATTATTGTATTGTCTCAGCTTTCATGGGATGTGAATCTCTATTATTTAAGCTGCACTTCTGGCTGGAGAATGCCTCCTACAGTGCTGAAAGACTGCATGAGGTCCCTAGTTACACATATTTTCTACATTTGGATGTTGGGGATGATAGTATATAAGCTAGGGGGAAAAAAAGAGACATTTTGAAAAAATGAGCTGAAACCTGAGAGCTCCAAGAAAAAAATCTTGAATTGTGTCAGAAGTTAACAAATTGTTGAACTATTACCAATGCCTCTAATTGTAAGAGGCTAATAATAAAATTAAAACAAGACAAAATTATCTTTGTCAACAGCTAGAAAATCAGTAGATGTAGACTGTCTTCACTGTAATAAAAAAAGCATAATATGGATGGCATGTTAGGAATTTTGTCTGCTTCAGATACTGTTTGTCATTCTTGATGCCTGCTAGTGATCTGATATGGAAAGGCTTTGTTTGGACAGCTGTACTAGACACTGGTACCTTACTAAGAAAGAGCTCCCTGTTTTCAATGGTTTTAGTCAGTAAAGAATATACATAAAACTTACGGGTTCTAACACATCAATTTCAGTGCAAGTCTTCTACTCATAAATTGAAGTTCTAGCATATCTCATGTGTGTGATGTGCGATTATAGCATATCTGATGTGATGTGTGATTGTGTTATAGCATATCAGATCCAGGTATTTGTCCTCAGATATGTCCTGTGTGAAGTAAGCAGGAGATTTGTTATAGTGCTGGCTTTGAAGCCCAGGGATAAATCACTCCTAGTCTCAGATTCAGTGACTGAGCCCTTTACAAAGGTTCACCTGAGAAGAAATAGCTCCCTTTGTCTCTGCTGGTGGCATAAAAGCTGGAATACACTCAGAGTGCTGCTAGCAGTGCTACCTACTCCATCGGTTTTACTTGTTAATCAGTGTTGATGGACATGGAGAGGATGGTATCTGACTTTCAAGGTGGCATGAAAGACTGAGCTTTAACATGGGTACTTCTTGAAAAAATCAACGTTTTGTTGAAAGAGGAAGTAATGGGGCTTTTAAACTGAGTTCTCTTTGCTTTCTCCATTGCACAAGTGCTTGTAGCTGCTGGGCTGGGCAGAGTTTAGTATTCATTTGGAAACACGGTTATTACAGTGTTTTATAGACAGAGCATTCAGGTAGCATATTTGTAGTAATGATCTGTAGTAATAATCTGTTAATAATAATGTTAATAATGTTAATGTTAATAATAATAATGTTAATAATAATGTTAATAATGTTAATCTGTTAATAATAATGTAGTAATAATCTGTTAAAGAACCATAGATAATACCTGTAAGCATGTTTATTGGGAAAGATAGGATTGAGTCTCAAGGGAGGAGGTGGACTTTGGATTTGGTAATGGCAGTGGTGGTATTATTGTTGTCAGCTTGCAGGAATTTTAATTCTTTGGTATGGAGTGTTAAGGCATTCATTTATGTAGTTAGCTTTAAAATAAAAAACAACTTGGCCATGGTTTGTTAGGTGAGTACTTGCAACTGAATTTTATGAATTTTATGATCTATGTACATTGAAACATTGACCTTGTTAGATGAAAATTTAGATGTTCTCTTTTTCTTGTATTATTGTAAAGGGGAAAAAGAGAACGAGCTTTCAGAGCACACCTTGATTTCAGTGTTCAGTAGGTGTTCCCTTATGTTCAGCAGGGAATGATGAACAGATGCAGCAATAATTTTGTTGTGTATGTGTGTACTCAGTTCATCGTGTCAGTTGGTATTTTTCTTTGCTCTTTTTGCTGTCATTATTTTGCTGCCTGTGTACAGCAGCTTCACATTAGAAAAAAGGAACTAGAAAAATGTCAAGCAGACTTCATATGGGTGTTGTAATTTCTTTCAATATTCTGTGAATTCAGAGTATGTCATAATGACATTTGTCACTGTTTGCATTAGAGAAAATAGCTGTGCTTCTGCCAGGACTGGAGTAAATGGATTGCACAAGTGTCATGAATTTTTAACGGAACCAATCCTGCTTTTTCTGTTTGTTACTTTTCCCCTACATCTTCTCTTTGCTTTATGATTTGCCTGTTTACTGTGCTGATAGAGAAGTTCATGAAGCATTTTTAAGCTTGTACCTTGTCTGAACTGGGGAAACATTTCTGTGAGTGCAAGACTGCTCATAGCAAATGGCTGCCCAGAGCAGCACCTGGAAGCTGTAAAATAAGGTCACCTTTGTCAGGAAATTTTGTTGGCCTGAATTCAGTTACTGGTAATTTGCTGTCTTTCGTCTGTTCTTAGTCCCTTTGACAAAGAGTAGGTCAGACTGACTCTATATATGCTGCCACAGTTACTGTCATTCAAGTTAATGCTGGGGGATGTAACAGTTAGGAAAATGGTCTTGCCACTGTAAGTTGTGGGCTTTTGCACCTCTTACTAATGTAGCCAGTTTGTGGGGGAAATAAGACTGTCAGCCCAGCCTCTCTGTAAACAGAGGCTTCATCAATTTCAGCATTGAATGAAAGATAAGTGCAGTTTGAATTTTTACAGTGAAATATATGTGGCATTTTTAAATATAGGAACTTTATACCCACAGCATAAAATCAAGGGGTTTTTTTCTGAAATCTACAGGAATTTTTTTTTCTGTGTCAGACTTGACAATATCAGTTTCTGTGGTGAACCTACTTAGCATGTCAAAAAGAAGAGTAAGGGAGACAAGCTTAAGGCTGTATGTGATATGCTGATTCAGAGACAGGATAGGGTAGCTGCTTCTCTCCTCTCCTTCCCCTGTGTTAGTAGGTCGCATTGTCAGTGCACCTGCAGCGTTTCAGTAGGTAGTGTGCAGACTCTCCTGTCTCCTGTAGCATCAGCTGGCCAGCTCATTTCCATTTGGGCACTGAGATGTAGCTTATTGCCTTGCTTACCTCTCAGTATGATTTGGGGCAGGCCAGTGATACCATCACGTGCTGCTTAGGGAGAGGGTATAGTGGATGGGTATCTCACAGTTCTCATTATTGTTGGCAGTTGTACATGATGATCTCATGTGCAAATGTCTCCTCAAGAAATCTTACTATGATCCAGAAAAGGGTGATGAATATTTTGCTGCCTCTGAAGCTATAAAGCACATACTATTTCCTCAGTGTATAAATACAGAATTCTAAGAAAGCAGTATAAAAGGGCATAAGTAATAAAGATGTATCTGTTTCCAATTACAGCAGAGTATACTCTTTTCATCTGTTCATTTCATCAAAAATACATTGTCATTGTTGAATGAGCAAAACTATGTTTCACTCCAGTACTGCCAGCTGCAAGCCAGCCTTTTTAACAAATGCTCTCTCAGTTTATCAAAGTAATTGGAAATTGCTCCTTGGAGACTGCTGAAACCATAACAAATGCAGACAGTAATCAGATTGTTTGTAATCAGAAGAGAGCAAAACAACACAAAAAACTTTAATGGAGACTCACTGGCTATTGCCAGCTTGTTCTTTTGCTTACACTGCTGACTTGAAACATAACCAATAACCAGCTACTAAATAGCCAGCAGTGTAGTAGCAATTATGTTTGTCTACTGTATGAGCATTCTCCTTACAAATGTTCTGTGGACTTCAGAGGGTATAAGAGTCCTGTTAAATGCAGTCAGGGGTAAAGTTGTCTTGGTTGGTCAGAAGATCTGGATATGAGCTGTGGTGAGAAGAGGAAATTGTCATCTTCTCTAAAGCCTAAAGGAAAACAATGACAGTTCCTGCAAAGTGCACTCCCCCTTCTGCACAGCGGTGTCTCCTACTTGTCTGTTGATTGTGCTTGGACTTTGATTCCCTCTTCTTCCTTGCCATTGATGGGTATTGGGAGCTTTGTGCCCTTCCTCTGCCTAGCAAGGGACTACTTTTCTGATCCCTGCCACAGCTTGCCAAGCATTCTCACAGGCCTTCAAACGCTTAGATGGTTTTGGGAACTACCTGAAAGACTCTGATCTTTGTGTTCCCTTCCTGCCAGAGTATTTAGGGAAGTCTTACTGTGTAGCACTGCCACTTGCATTTCCTTTTAGTATCTGAACATGTAATGAATAAAAATATAGGCTAAAATTATTTTAATGTAACCTTTAGGAAAATACATTTATAGATTTTGGTTCTTAGTATGAGAAATAGTGTTTAGGACTTCTTGAAAAAGTAGTTCTTGATCTTTATAGATATAGATTTTAATTAATATTTGTCATGAATATACAGTGGCATCTTAATTACTTGGATTTCACTAGACAAATTGAGCAACTTCCTTGTGATGCTGGATGCTGACTTTTTTTTGGTGGTCAGAGATGTCGCATCCTTTTGTAACTGTGTTCATTTTTATTCTATCCAAAGTTTGGAACATGGATGTAAAAATGTGAAGGCCTCAAGTTGTACCAGCTTTTGCTTATTATCTTTAATGTGTATTACATCTGTATCTAACTGAATTGACTATGCAGGCAAAAATTGTGTAGAATTTGAATTCTATTTGTATAGAACACAGATTTTTAATAAGAACAAATATTCAGTATGCTTACTTTCTTTTAACAAAAATAGCCAGACCATCCCAGAATTTGAGTTGAAAGTGAGTATTACTGGATATTAGTAATAACATTCTGATGGCTTGAAAAAACACCCAGAACAAAAGAAAAGTGTTTGTAGGATGAAGTTTAATTAACTGCTGTGGTACTAAACTGTACATGCCAACTTTGAGGTCCCAAACCAAGCAGGGATAAGAACAGATTTGCACTTCCCACCACTGTAATAGAGCTGGCACCAGTCACCTTAATGTGATTATGTCTGTACTGTGAGTAATACAGAATACCAGTCTGTTATTAAATTATTCAGCAGTTTTGTAGGTAGAGTTTTATCCTGTTTTTTTCCATCAGTAGACATAAAGTTCTGAAGTTCAGATAACAGGAAAAAACCTTCCTTATCTGATGACTGAAAAAAGCAGGTGTTCAGTAAGCCTGAAGCAGCTGAACACTTCTACACACTGTGCTGAGCCAAAAGGTTGAACTTTGTGTGTGAGCTAAAGCCTTCTGAAAATCTTTGGTTTTAATAACTATATGGAGGTTGGATGTCATGGCTGAAGACTGCTCAAGTGCCTGTCCTTGTCCTGCTTCTTCTCTTCTTTCTCCTGTGATCCAGTTTCAATCAGCCCCACACTCTTCAAAAATCCACAGAAGTCTTCTTGACAAGATTTAAGTCATTTGTTTCTTTTGTTTAGGTATTCCTGTCTCTCAGCAGCACTTAATTTGGAACAATATGGAACTGAAGGATGACTATTGTTTGGATGATTATAAGTAAGTATAGAATAAAATTATGTTTCTAATTAATGTTTCTAAGTAATTGTTAGCATGAACAACAGAAAATGCTACAAAAATTTATTTGTTGTTATTTATAGCATTTCAGAAGGCTGCACTCTGAAGTTGGTTCTGGCTATGCGAGGTGGACCTGTTAACACCAGAAGAGGTAGGTGTTAAGGAAGTTAAAGATAGTGGTTTTCATGCAATGTCTCATAACTGTAAAGAGCTTAGGTAAGCATTCTCTTAGGGAAGCATTTTGGACAATGAGACTTCAGTTCCAGATGGAAAAATACTTAACAAAAATGGGGGGATTTTTTTTGCCATCTTCTCTTAGAATATCAAGTTCACTTTGTTTACTCTTAAATTAAGTATATTTGTATGTACAAAATTGTCAAGTCATAAAATCAGCAATTCTTCACTTGAAGAAAAAATTATCCTGCAATGTCATTATACAAATATTTTTTAAAATATGGTCATAAGAATCAGACTTTGCTATAGTCAGATATATACTTGGTTACTTGGACCATCTGTATAGGAGTGAAAAGGAAGAAATTCCCTTGATAGTTTTCTTGGGAAAAATTAGGAAAAAACCCAGCCTATCTTCTAGGTTGGGAATTGCTATTATAAACTGAGCTGAGCACTCAGAGGTGATCAAAAGAACAACAATAATACTTTGAGTTCATTTTGGTTTTTTTATGTCCTTAGTTCCTGTGAAAGATCCTATCAGGGAAATGGCTGAATACATGGATCCTGCTAGAGACAAGGTGTGGGAGAAAGGGCCGTCCAACAAACAAGTCACCTTCCTCGTGTATCGCGAAGGAGATCGCTTGAATTTCTTCCGTGTGGTTGACCGGGGCGATGGCACTTTAACACCACTGTCTGAATCTTTGAGGTAAAGTTCATTTTAATCTTTGTATTATTCTTCAAGAGTGGATTGCTGTGTAATTTTCAGCTGTATTTGTTGGTTTTATCAGAAGAGTATCTGGCATATTGTAAGGATTATTCCCTAAGGGCTATTAAATTGTTGTAACTGTCTGAGAGCACAGTAGTGCTTTGTGGTCAGTGGTTGTGCTGATGGTTTTCTTATCACTGTGTGCATTAATATAGTGCGATAAAACTGACTTCATACTTAGGCAATTCTCAACATTCCAGCCCTTTCTGAAAAGGACCATGTTGCAGGAGAGTCAAATCAATATTTTATTAGATATTAAAAACTTCCATTAAGCACTTTCTCTAACATCTTAATGCATTTGTTTAGTTTTTTAAACATTTCCTTGTTCGCATAACAATTTTTTTCCTATGAGTGTGACTTGACTAAATGATTAGTCAGAAAAATAGTATTTACCAATACAGCCAGATTTTGGATGCAATTAGGCCTCAGGTTAGCTACTGTTGAGGTGCCAAGCTTGTGTCAATTGCTGTCAGAATCCAGTGATCTTATCATCAGAAGGACACTTTACCTACTACATTGTAATTGTAGTAAACAGCTGGGTAGTCTTTTTCCTAAAACTATCAAAATGGATACCTTTTAAAAATTATTGCATTCTATTTGTATACTGCAGCTTTTGGGTAGGTACTTTTTTCCATTCAAGAACTTAACATTTGTACAGCTGCGAGGAAAGGAGTCCCTTTTCTGGGAACTAGCTGTCTTTTCTGCAAGGCTAAGGCTCAAGGTTCTTTAAGTGACTATTCTTGTTTCTGTATGCAAAGGGAAAGCAAGAGCTTTGTGCTGGGATTTTATTTTTTGTGTTCAGACTGATACTACTCTTAAAGATTTTTATAAGACATCTATACTTAAAAACTACCAATGGAAAAAAATACCAAAGCTGAATTCCCACATTCAGTCAAATACATTGGGTTTAAGAAATGAGCTGATGCTGGTCAAGTGAACCACTTGGGTTGGAAGCCACCTGAGTTGAAAACATTGAGCTTGAGTTGTTTCTGTTTTTCTGTGCTTGCTATGGGAGTTCACTTATTAGCTTTTCTAGTAAGGCAGATAGTAATTTGGAGGGGAAGGAAATCCTAATTCTTAAGTTGGTTACCATGGCTGGGTGAGACTGTGGGAAATGGAAAAGTAGCAAAGGGAAGAGAGAATGGAAGCAAATCAGACCTTTTTGTTTGATCTTTATAGAGTAAGGCTCTGGGTCACTCTGAATACTGCTGAACACTGCTAGTTTTCCATGCTGACAGGTGTGTTCATATGTGTGGGTATATTGGTGACTAAGCATTTTGAAGCACGTGTTTATCATCCTTTCTCACATTGCTGATACCTGGAGCAGAATTCGACTGAAATTTAGAAGTGAGAAGTTGGTTTTGGTCTTGGTTTTTACAGTTCTCCAGATAATTTTATTTTATCTGTGCTTGAGTTACTGGGTCAAACTTAACAAAAGTATAAATGCATACAGTGACCATTGTCACTGGGTTAGAAAAGCATTGAAGCATTGATGGAGGACTGGTGCCAAAAGGGTTTCAGCAAGCTAATAATTTTTGAGACATGCATTTTATTTTGTCACTCTTTTTTTTTTTGGTGTGTGTTTTTGGCCCCTGTTTGTCAGAAAGTGGAACAAAAAGATAACAATGATTTTTGCATTAAAAAAAATCAAAAACCAACCAAACATGAGACATACTGCTTTGCTTTCTGTCCTTACCTTGCAGGAAGGGACGTTCAACAAATTATTTTGACTTGGTGATGTAAACCTTTGTGAAGATAAAATTTTGAAATTATTCTTTAGTGTTGGGTTTTTACCAGGAGAAATATGTATATGTAATAGATATGATAACTGTTCCCATTTGGAATTGCTCTGGTTTTGGTAAGAAATGTCTGGTCTATTTTGCTGATTCTTGGTTTGAATTTGCTGCTTTCTTGCTCTTCACACCATCTCCCAGTGTCTCACTGTCTCTCCATTCCAAAATGCCTTTGCAATTTCGTTACATTTTAGGAACTGGATTTGGAGAGTCAGTGCAAAAAATGCTGGCTCTAAAGGCAGCAGAATATTTCTAAGGATCAGGTAAGATGCCAGCTCTAATTAGTGATATTTTCTTTTTCCACATGACTTTTAGTTCTTCCTTGATCTCTTTTGGAGAGTAGAAACTTAAGCTAAATCTACTAAGACATATGTATGAATACAGGGGAATTAGGGGAATTGCCTGATTGTCATGATTTCTAGGTGCTGACAATGTAATGGAAGAACTATAACACTCTTTGAAATGTACTGCCTACAGTGTTGAAAATGCATCAGTTTGTACTAAATTGGACAGTCCTAATGGTTCTTTCATTTCACTGTCAAATGTTGAATGTGTTGCTGGTCAATGCTTCATTGCTTCATAGGAAAAACAAGTTAGATGCTGATTTTTTAACCTTGAGGTTTAGCATTCTGTTAGAATGCAGAATGGAAGATGGAAATGTCATGCTGTAAACTTCCCGTGATTACTGACTTAAAATACTTTGTCTTGGGACTAGCAATTCTAATCTATTTATTTTTTTTTTCCAAATGTGAGACTCTTTGGAATCTTTGGGAACCTAAACTGATCTTTTTTTTCTTTTTTTTCTTTTTTTTTTTTTTTATTTTGAAAAGGAGAAATAGAATATCACATCCACATGGGTGAGCCCTCCATTTCCATTTATGGTGAGAACACCCCTCAGGATGGATAGAAATTTGGACTTTTCCTTCCATGCCAGTGTCTGGTTAATTGGAAAACTGATCAGCTTGTTGTCTGAGTCACACACTTAACAGCTTTGGCCATATCTTCAGGAGACATTTGTGGAACTGGATATCCCCTCTGTGGGGAAAATATATAGTGAGTGTGAACCAACTGTATATGCTATAACAACTTCCCAGAAGCGTGGCTGTGTACAGATTTCAGCGACATGTCAGCGACTTTGCCCTAATAAGGGATGCTTATGTGGATAAATGGATTTGAAATATCTTTGCATACAGTTTTACATAATGTTTTGTCAACAGATCAACTACGGATATGACTTCCTAGTTGTGAGAATACTCTACATTGAAAATGTAATTAAATTACTTCATTAGAGGGTGAATACAAACTTTCTTTTATTTTCAGCGGTGGTTCAGTTTATAATTTATATGCTGATGATGAAGATGAGACAGAGGCATCACCTTCTGGCCAACAGATTATTGAGAATTCAATTACTATGAACAAAATGAAACTGCTCAAGGCAAAGATGGAGAACATGAATCTGAGTAAAAAGGTGAAATTGTGATTTCAATTTTTCTGTCATAAAGTGGAGTGGGCTTTCCTTGTGCTGCCTTTTCTAAAAACTAGACCAGATACTCTGCCATACTGAGAAGTCAAGTTATCATGGGTAGATGATTTCTCAGCTATTGTTTATGTAAATACTGTTGTGTAAACATTTTCTGAGGGGCATTGGCATTCCTTGAACCTACCTGCCTTCATTCAAAGAATTGATTACTAGTCCTGGATTTATTTGCAAGGGTAGATTTTTTGGGTAGGTGAGTGGGTTTTGTGAGTTTTTTTCTTCCGATACTTCAAGTAGCATTGTTATGCAGTACTGCTCTGGTAAAAGTCAATGTTTCTCTTAAAATGAAATTTCATTAGATATACTCTAACTGAAAAGCCTATAAAGTGAAATATGGGAATGATATTATCTTGAAAATAAAACATTAAGCTGGTGCTCACATGTGACTAGGTTACCTAGATGTAAAATGAAGAGATTATACTTCCTTACATTTTTTGTTCTGTTTGAGACCTGAAGCTCCTCTGGATAACTTTGATGGCTTTCTGGTTTCCTTTTTCTGTTTCTCTGATATATCACCTGTTCAATGAAAATATTTCCTGATTATAATCTTTGATTTTATTACTCAGATGTTGGGGTGAAGTCTTCAATGGCTAGTAACATACGAGGGAGTAGAAAGAATGGCTTACAGTGTCTGAATTCCTCAGCATATATTTTCAGTCAGGTCTTTTGAGTGCAACTGGAATTCAAATACTAATTGTTGTTGTGTCTGTGATTTTTGATTTTGCTTGGGCTTTTTTCTTTTCAATAGCCTAAGAAAACTGTCAAGGTGAAGCCTCGGCCTCCCATGACTCCTCGACCATCGAGTGGCTCGGTGGCTGCTGCCCGTCACCGCTTCCTCAGAGTGCTGCCCCACATCGGACAGTCTTGCCTACCTCCTCCCGGGCATTTGCATCAGTCAGAGTCTCCCCAAAACGCACTTTCAGCACTGGCTACCTTGGCCACTGCTGGTAGAACAATGCCAGCCACTGCTAATCACTTCCTTAAGGAAGATGACACTTGGCAGAGCAGCTCTTGGTCTCAGCCAGTGAATAGCATCAGGTTACCACCGAAAATATCTCGTGTTGAACTAGAAAATGCAAAGCTACCTACAAATAGTATTCTGACTCCTGTTTCATCCCTGCCTGCAAATTCAGAAAAAGCACCTGAAAATCCAACCTCAGCGAGTGAGGAGGATGCTGTTTTGTTTCCAAACCTAACAAACGTGGAACTATATGGAAAAGAAGAACATCTACCTGAACCAGATGGTTATGCTTTTTTAACAGAAGGAAGCACTGCTGAACAGTGTAGTGAGATCTATGACATAGGAAAGGTGAACCCAGAGCTTGAACTGCCTGATGGAGACAAAGATTCTAAGGTTGTAGAGCAGCATAGCAAACCTCTTGGCAAAGTGCTGAGCACTGCAGCAATGGAGGCTGGTCTTCTCAGTACTCGTGAATTAGGTCCTCAGAAGAATCTGCTGTTGTCTCCCCTGCGGTATTCAGCGCAAGTGGCACACCACAGTGCCCTGAAGCCACAAGCACAGCCCAGGTGCTTTGAGGCTGGTAACTTGAGATCTGCAGCCTCCCCAAATGTGCTTCGATCGTTGGAAGTACGTAGTATAGCAGACTCCTCTTTTCCTAGGACCACTAGATTTTGTAGTGTGAAAGTAGAGTCACTTGGCAAAAGACCTGATGTAATTTCTAAAGCAGAGACTAGGGACATCACAGATGTGGCTAGCAAGACACCCAAAGAACCTGCGAGTTCTGTAAGTAACTTAGGATTTCTGGCTTCGCTGGCCCGAAGCACAAACAGGGAAAGTTTACAGAGTTCCTGTGGGACTGACGGCTTTCGGACTTCTGGTATTGCACTACCTGCAAGCCTGCAGCATTTTCAGGAAGAAAGCTTTAGGAAAACTGCTCCTCCAAATGAAGCTGCTGAATATAATATTCTAGTGAGTATACACATGTCCAAAGAAATCAAAGTTTTCCTGGTTTTGTGATACTGATGTTACAAAACTACTGTGTGTGTGTTTGTGTCTTGTCAGGAGAGGCAGATGGATTGTAGGAGGTTTATTTAAATCCCTGACTGTCCTAAACTGTTTTCTGAATAGCTTATGGTATCTAAACAGCCTGTTTGTCTAAACAGGTCCTAGAACTAATTTTTCATTGAGATTGAAGTGGTTATTCAGTTCACAACTGAAATTATGAGTTACTGTACTGATAGATTTATGAGTGTGTGTCTTAGAAGCATCATCTGGCTTCTGCTGCTCACTAATTGTCATTTATTCCAAAGTGTGCCCAGTGACTGGCACCATATATGCCAAGCTTCTGCTCTCTAATGTACTTTGTTGTTTTGGTGTATTTTGAAGTGTGGGGACGTTTATTAAATAGCCATTGATGGTAAGGCTTTATGTTACAGAGCTGTACCTATGTGTGCAGAAGTTGTCTTGGACTCTTCATGGGCAGATTGATAAAACATTGATATCAAATAAGCTGATAACAGACTACCTACTTTGCCATTTAATTTCCATGTGCTAGTAATTTCCTTGTGGACATTTTTTTTTTTTTTTAGTCTGCGCATGGGCTTGGAATGAATGGAAGTATGGCAGCTGTAGGGAAAAGAGTAGGTAAGTAACATATAATAATTAAAAATTACTCTTTAGTTTTTTCTGGTACATCACATGTATAGAGGACAAAAATAATTTCTCTTTGTAAGGCATTTGGCTTCTGGAGTCCTTGCTGTATTATGCTTCTATTGTTTGGTTAGTCTTTTAATATTTTAAGCACTTCTTAAACAAGCAGATGGGATCCAGATCTTAGATGGACCATAACTACTATTCTTCCTTTTTAATACTTAGTGAATCCTGCACATCATCTGTAGATCTAAATGGGAGCTTCTGTGCTGAAGTTTCCAAATTATCAGTTTTCTGGATACTTCTGAGTCTATTAAAATCAGAGCCAAATTTATCAGTAGCATTGTCTTTAGTACAAAAAAAGTGGGGAGGAAGCAATAAGGGCATGGATGCTGCAGAACACTGATATAGTGCAGAAATTTTACTGGTTTTTGTGCTTGTCATTCTTTCCACCCTAGCCTTGGTAACTGTGGAGTGCTTAATGTTTGACATCTTCTGAAAAAGAATATGTTATGCATAGATATTAACTGCTTGTGTGATTAATTCTACTGGGAGTAAAGGAATTGTCTAAATTAATGCTTTTAAAGCTCTTAAGACAATGAGCTAAGAATTTTCAGCACATTTAATTTTTCTTCTATGTATTCTTGACTTGCAGTTAGCAATTTTTCTTTTCTTTCTATATGACCTTAGGAAGAGGTAGGCATGTATTGCAGATCCAGATGTAGAAAATGAGCTAGACAGTAGCTGTTCAAATGGCAGCTGCAACAGAAAAAGTTATGTAATTGTAATGTTGGAGCAAAAGCTGCTAACAGAGTGGGTTGTGCTGTTGTTTCACAGCTGTGGGTGCAGCTTGGACTTGGCAGTCAGTTAGTAAACAGGTCTGTCCTTTTGCTCCAGAGGTGCTATCCTGAGAGCAAAAGAGAAGTGTCCTCTTCACAGTCCTATCCAAAGTGACTCGGGTATTAGCAGGCTTCCCCACCTGCATGTGGGGAAGCCTGCTAATACCTGAGTCACTTTGGATAGGACTGTGAAGAGGACACTTCTCTGGTGAATCTTGTGTTGAACAAAAGTGTATTTTCCAAAAGATGCCAGATATGAGTTAGTGTGGTCATATCATGCAGGCTGTTGGGAGAGACGTGGTAATGATCTGTTATAACTGGCCAAAGGACAGATCACTTTTCACTGCAGTTGCTGTAGGGATGTAAATGTGAAGACAGGTGTATTGTTTTTCCTGTCTAGGTAGGTCCACAGGGCCAGCTGTCCTCAAGCTCTGTCTCTTTCACAAACTGAGCTAGCCAATGCTTCTGAAATTGTGTGCTTTTAGATGAAGAAATTGTTAGCGTGGACAAATGTTGCCTGGAAATTTCAATGCTAAATAGGAATGGGATGGGAGTGGTTGGTAGTGATGGCTGTCATGTGTAGTGACTGCCTGGGGCTACTATTGAGTGTAGTCTGCTGCATTTCTGTTGGGATTAAAGCTGTGGTGGACAAAAATTACTTGAGAATTCATGAGATAACTTTCTGGGAACATCTTGCCAATAGAGCAGTAGAAACACTGAAAGAATTTTTGAGAGGCTGCATCACTCACTTTACTGATCCAGATATGGGAAATATGCTTAAGCAAGTTGTGGAGAATGAACTTAATTCTACAGAAAGAAGGGAGGAGAATAAGAAAGGAGAAGCCTTGTCTTTACATGATCTCCAGTTAATAAAACAACAGCCAAGAATTACATGGCAAAAAGTAAAAATAAAGTAATTTTTTTAAGTGTAGAAGCTTTACAAACATCTGCAAAGTGTCTAATGTAACCATATGGCTAAGTAGAGGCCTGTAGTCTAATACTGTACTTTTCTTGCAATTATGGAGTACCAGCAAGATTTTAAAATGTTGCAGTACTTATTTGGCAAATTAGTATACTGAATATATTGGATGCTAGGTACTGGAGTGCCCAGTTGATTCTTTGTAAAGCCATTGTGCACAGTGCTTTCCCAGTGACACTCTGTTCATTTTACACCTGGGAAGACCATTAAGAGATGTGTTTCTTGATTTGTTCTGTAACTTCTTGCTTATGTGAACTTTTAATTCTTGTTCAGAATAACAGTTCTGCACATTGTGATGCCTCTTCCAGGCTTGAAGTGTGTTTCCTGTTTTGGCTTTCAGGGTTTATTTTTCTCCTCTCCTTTTAGACTTTGGGTTTCCCACCTGAAGTATCCTAAGAAATGCAAAATAAATTTTCATTTCAAAAGATAACATTTAACTAGTTTGTGAATAAGTTAAAATGTCTTTGCTGTCTTTCTACTTCTGAAAGCAGGTGAAGCAACCCATCTTCCACCTGTGAATGGCTTAATTCAAGCAAAAAAGAAAATTTCAAAGCACTGCTTTCTTTGTGGCAAGAAAACTGGATTGGCAACCAGCTATGAGTGCAGGTAGGCTGAGTATATAACCAGCTGTTACTTAAAATTGATAGCTGAGTTAACCAAGAAGTTTTCTTTCCTGCATTGTATTCCGTACATAGCAAATCAAAAGGGGACCTTCAAAAAAGTTGCAATTCTCAGTTCAGCAAAACTGCAGGAATTAGAACTCAGGAATGTTGCCCCTCTTCTGCTCTTGAGGTGTATGTTCTTCCAGGAAGGTCAAGAAATAGAAGGTAATAGAATGGAAGATAGCAGGAAATTAATAAGATAACAAAAACAATGATGCATTTTACTGGTTGGAGAAGAACTTGTCACAGATACACATTCTGCAAAGTTTCTCATCAATAATGACACCTTTAACAACTTGAGGAAAAAGCAGGTTTGGTATAGTTTCTCAGAAATGCCCCTCTGATTTCTCCCTATTGCAGCACATCTTGACAGTTTGTGAATTTATGCAAATTTGTATTCAACAAATTTTTGATGTGTGGTCTGCTTTTTGCAAGACTTCAGTTACCTTTGAGCATTTAGAGCATCTCAAGCGCAGAACCAGAACCAGAATGCTGGTCCCCCAAATCCTTACTTCTAGATGACACTGTGAGACCTGGTGCTTGGTTGTAGTCTTGGGAAACTATAAAAAAAAGAAGAAAAAATCCCCAGATGAGGAAAACTAACCTCCAAACTGACAAAAAACTCAACAACAACAACAAAAACCACAGGGAAAAAAACAGATCTCTCTGTTAATCTTAGTTTTCAAGTATTTTTTGACCACAAGGTATTTTTTTCTTAGTATTCTTTCCTATGGGCTAGTCAGTGTTGGGAACTGCTGCACCATGGGCTGCATTTGGAGCTGATCTTGGTTCATGCCAACAACAGCAAAATGAAAAAGAACTTCTGCCACTGGGGAATCGTATAGAGAATTTCAGGGTGAGGAATTGTCTCCTTACTGACTCTTCGGTCTCTGATTTTGAAACTGTTTTGTACACTGCTCACTTTCCTGATGAGCAAATAGCTGCAACCTCTTCTAAAAGTAACTAAGCAGCTTGCTTAAGGTTAAAAATGAAGGGGGTAATGGCTCATCTCCAAGAATAGCATTTATTTTGGTTTCAAAAGGAGCAACCATGGGACCTTTTACTAGAAAGCAGGGTAAACCAAATAAAGAATACAGTCATATGAGAAAAGTTGTGACTATGGGATCAAGAACCAAAGGAAAGCAAATTTATTTCCAGGCACATAAAGCCTCAGGAACAGCTGCAGAGTTAATTATGAACCTAGATAGAAAAATAAATAGGGGATTATAGTATACAACATCCAAAGTATGCTTTTCTCATGGTAAGACTCTTAGCTGGAGAACTGTCAAGTTTAAAGCAAAAATCCTGATCTTAACTCATCAGAACTGCAACTGGTACTGGGTTGATGAACCCTATTAAAGTCCTCCAGGAAGTTATGTTCCCTGTAGTTTGTCTGATGTCTTAACAGCTGACTAAATCTGTATTTATTAATCTTAAATGGCTAATTTGAGTTTATGCCAGACAGAATTGAGCTGAAAACATCTGTTTTGATTGTCTGAATGATGTAGTGGTTTTGAATTGAAATGCATTATATGGATTTCACCTGAGGGAATTACTGTCTGTGGTTTTGTTCTCTGAATTCTACCAAATAATATTGTGTGAGGTCCTTAAAAAAGAAAGAAAGTAAAACAAAGCTCATTATTCTTAAATTATAAGTGTATTTGACTCCTTACCAGCTGGTTCCTGGAGCACTGATCTTGCTTAGCGTCCCAGCTGAAGAGACTGTTGGGTCAAAACTAAAACGTTGTGCGAAAAATGTCCTTCTGTGTACCCCACCAGTTAATGTTACCAGTCTAGGATGGTAACAATGCAGACAGCTCTGTCATCTAAGACATGATTAACTAAAATGGCTCCCAGCATGTCAGAGCATTGAAGGCTTCTAAAAGCTTGTAACTTGTAATATTCTTGATTCTTCAGATGTGGAAACAACTTCTGTGCGACACACCGCTATGCAGAGACTCACACTTGCACCTACGACTACAAGAGTGCGGGACGGAGATATTTACAGGAGACCAACCCCATCATTAGTGCACCAAAGCTTCCCAAAATTTGACATGGTTGTGCTGCATGTGGCCGCTCTGCTGTTGAGGAATTGTACTGAATTGAGAGAAGCACTTGCTTAAACTGCATCATTTTGCCATGCTCCGTATTTAAAGATTTGCCAAGTAACAAAAGCACATGAGGATGCATCGAAGAATAATGTGAACACTACTGCAGTTAAAACTTTTCTTCTTGAGTGAATGAAAGGTTAAAAATTAGTTTCTGAAAACTTACACTATGATTTAACTGTTACTGCACGTGTTGTGTTTTATATTTGGAAAAGCTATTTCACTAGACAAGTCTTTAAAGATGCACTTTACTAACTTTACTGTATAACCAGAGTTGAGGGGGTGTTGTAATGAGGGTGTCACGTAATGTCTTCTGTACTCTTGTTTTTGTCCATTGTGTGGTATCTTCTAAGTTATTTCACTAGAAAGATCCTCCTCCCTCCCCTTTCTTCAAACAGCCTGTTTTGAGATTTTAAGGGGATAGTGTGTTCCACCCCTCTGTTTCATTCTGATTGATATTCGTACATTGTGTGTCCATTCTGAAAATTACATATCACCTTAATCACATTTTCTTAAAATAATGCTGTTTATATGACAAGTTTGTTTTTAAATAGAAGGTTCCCTGTTTGTTGCCATTAAATATAAGAAACAACTTATTTTAACTTTTTTTGTAATCCTAGATTTTTTTAAGACTTCACAACTTGCTTTGTTAAGATGTTGAATGCTGTTACTGGAAGAAATTCTAATAAATATTAAATTTTATTCTTGTTTATGCTGTCATAAATGCAAAAAATTACTTCCCTCTTACAGTGTGTTCCTAAATTAAAAGCTGGGCTCTGTTGGGAGGGTATATTTATTTTCTTTTTTATTCTGACCAACACTGTGTGCTTTAAATAAACCTCCTGAAGTCTTACAGGTGTACCAGCAAAGACTAAAGGGATGCACAACAAAGGGCTTGTATTAACCTTTCTCCCCTCCAGCTGATAGTATACCAGCAGTTCAGTAAATGCATGAGACACTTCTAGTGATTATGTAGCCTCTGCAGAAACTGCTTTTGGAGGAATATTCCTACTGAAATACTTTCTTCTTTCATCCCCTTAATGCTTGTGAAATATTTTTATAAGCATAAGTAGCATTAAGTGTTCCAGTATAAAAATATTAATCGAAATCCTACGACAAACAACCAAAACAAAAGAATAACCCCACCTATTTTATCTAGGTAATCAAATGTCATTGTCCCTGTCTTGTCAAAGTCCTCAGCCACTTAGTTGGTATTAAAATGATCTGTGCTGCATTTAGAAGAATGATAGTCAAAAGGTGGACAAAAAAAGAAGAAAGATGACCACTGAAAGAGGGAGAAGTAACTTGTAGAATCTGATCTTTGGAGGAAATCTATTTTGTGTAGCCCACTTCATACTTCTTAAACCTGACGTTTTCAGAGTGATGAGCTTGGAAAAAAATGTTCACAATCATTCTTCTGAGTATTGATAAGATAAAAATATAATTCTGTGTGTGTGACTTCTGTGCTTGTTATAACTGGAGGAAGTTCCCTTGTGATATGACCATTGTGTTGTTACTGAGCCATGCTGTGTACCATGAACTGCCTGCAGTTTTTTCATCTCCAGCAAGGGACAGTGTGTGATGCCAAAAGAAGAGAATAAAGGAACATGACAAATGCACAAGTGTTTTCACAGCAATGACAGCAACATTCTCGAGACAGAGATATTGCACTTCTTGTAGGTACAGTATAGATTTGGTAAGAAGTGGAATTAAACTTTGGTCTGTGATCACTTAATCTGATTTTGCATAAGTATAATTGTCAGGAAATTGTTTTGCAGTATATTGGAATAGCCATACTCAAATTTTAGTTCAACTACACAACAGATGCGTGGTTGGAAGTCACATCTCAATTTTGACTCTCCCTTTCTGCATATGTGTAATGAAGTGCACAACAATGCTTTTTGAGAATATGCAATGCACTAATAGTCTAATTTCCCTGTGTATAGCTTCTCATCATTTTTATTATATCTCATTTTAATTATACTTAATGCAAATACTTCTTGTTCAGAGCTCTACTGGTTTTGTTCCCATGAAGTGTTACAGGCGTTAATTTCCAACCAGTAGTACAGCCACAAGAGAACTTTAATTTGAAATTAACTGTTTCAGTCATTAATTCAGATGATTGGATTTTGCCAAGTCCTGTGTTAGTTTCTGCTATGGATTAATTACTGTTTACTGTGTAAACTTACCTGAATGGTTTGGGGTTTGAGTATTGGTGTACCATGCTGCTGTGCATCTGCTGAACACAAATATTTAGCTTTTCTGTGTTCATGTAATTAGATTATTGTGTTATAAAGAGTTTACATACTGGAAGTTGAACAGTTACTTTGGTGTGTGCTCTTCTATACCTTCCTGCCAATTTCTTTTGCTTGTTTCTTTTATGTATGAGGCAAAACTAGGCTGGTCTCTTGTTGAATCATCTCCAGGATTCTGGCGTCAAATTGATAGGCACCACAGAGGTGTCAGAAATGGTTTTGGAAGTATTAAAAACTTCCTTTCTCTGGAATCTCTAGAAGCCCATGGTGATAAAAACCTGTCTGCTTACAATTTCTGTCTATTCACTTTGCAGTCCCCTGGGATGTAATTGCAGTGATGCCTTCTGCTCACAGTCTTCAGTTGTAGACAAGGCCAGAATTGTTAATTCATATTACAAAATACAAAATGAAATTTCTCTCTAGGTTGTTTTTTGGGTTTTTTTTGCATACAATGAATTATGCACTTTGTTTCTTTTCAAGTCCTTCCAGCTTTCATAATGGGGCACCATCTTTTGGGTGTGAATTGTGGATTTGGCATTGCTTCTGCCCATAAGGAGTTGCTTCCACCTGCAGCTTTTGTGTTGGGTCACATTTTTCCAATCTTTATGTAAATCAGGTTCATCTTGGGATGCATTTGACAGTTTTTCTGGTATCTACATTAGCACTGAGCCACAGCTGCTTACATGAGAACATTTATGGAGCTGAGAACTACATCTGGAAGAGAATCCACTCGTTCGTGCATAACTCCTATACAGGGACGTTGTGGCAGATTTTGCTGGATTTCTCATGAGTTCGTTTTGTGTGTGAAGCTGCAGAGAAGCAACACCAGGGGGCAGCAGAGGCATTTAAAAATGGCAAAAAAGTTTTGGGTTTGTCCAATAACGAGAAATAAAGTGTGTTTAGTTGTTTATGACCCTTACTCAGCCCACTCTGAGCAGATCTGAGGAGGTCAGCAATAGCATACCTTCCTTTTCCTAATTCCAAAGGGTTTTAAAATATCAGAATGGAAGAGTACCTCAAAAACTTGTTTCTATGCTGGGTTTCATGCTACAATTTATTAGGTGATCTTAATGTATTGAAGACTAGACAGCCTTCCTCCCTTCCCAGTAACCCTGCAAGAGTGGATTTCAGAGGTGTCTGTTAGCCAAGCCCTGTTGGATAGTATGTTTAGCTAGGTTTACCAGATATGTCTAGTAAAAATACTGCATATCCCTATAATTCTTACTTTAAAAAGACAAGTGTTGCTCCTTTTGTTCTTATGGGTTCAGAATGAGGATATCAAAGCATAAATTCATTGGTGTGTGAGGAAGGTATGCCAGTAACTGCTCAAGTGACCACTCTTTACTGTCTTGCCTAGCCTTGCAATTCATAAAGCTTTACAGTGGCAGAAATTTATTTCTAAACCACACTTTAAGGCTGTTTCAATCCTTTTTATTCCAATCTTCAGAAAGACTGATTACTATGTACCATATATATAGGAAGTGTGTATATATACCTCAATAAGAATTACATTCTAATCACATCTGGATGGTGAATTTTTGCTGAAATTAGGTGTTCTGCCCAGTACCAGAAATTCAAAACAGTACTTAATCACAAAAATAGTATTATTTACATGGTATGTGATTAAGAGTGTTAATGAGCAGGAAGTGAAAACACTGAAGTTTTCTAAAAGGAAAAACTGGGGGCTTCCAAATACCCTCTCTTCTTTCTCTCTTTGTGAAGAGTTTTTTTAGCAAATGCATATGATTTTTAAAAAGTGAATAATCTCTCCCTTCTATTCATAAACTTTATTTTGCTTGAATCTTGTACTTAAGTGCTGGAACCATTGCCCATACTGGGCCTTGTTTCCTAAAAGCCTGCACTGGCTGATGCCAAGATACAACACAGATATATAATGAAATACCTTTGGTTTTATATGTGATCTGGAGATTGAGAGTTGAGTGACAGTTTCTTCTTAGCATCTCCTGTCTTGCCAGCAATCACAGATAGTTTGTTTTGGGGAGACATAGGACTCATCAAAATAGACTGGATTAGCCTGAGATCATCCAGCCCCCCCATCTGTCTCTCGGAATAGGAGGTAACAGGCACTTCAGAAGGTGCAAAAATTCCCTAACCAAGTATTCAGGAACAGGACACTGGATCCTATGCTAATGACTAGTCTGAATAGTGAAGAACTTGCTATCTCAGTGTGATATTAATTTGGAGGTCCATAAAGGTCTAAAACTATTTTTGAATCTTGATAGATTCATACTTTCACTTATTTATATAGGTGATGTGAAAGGAATTTTCTTTCACTGCAGTTTTGAATTTCCTACTGTTTTTAAATTGAAATTCATTTGGTCCAGTGTTATAAGAAAGAGAGAACGGTGACTCCTGAATATTCAATATGTTCTGTCTTTGAATCACATCCCCTCTTACTCATCTTTTTTATGGTAGCAATTCACTGTCTTTACTATTTCAGAGTCTTAATTATGCTTGCTGTCCTCTAAACCCCCTCTAATTTTGCATTATACTTTGTCATCTACAGTTCTCTGGTTCCCATTTTCCTGTATTGTGTGTTCAGCTATAAGCTGTTCAAGGCACTGTTACAAAGGAAGCTTCTAAAATTGTGATTAAAACAATACCAGGTGAAATATGCCCAGGGTTCTTCCAAGGAGGTCCCATAGAAATGCTTAGGATTATTAATCTCCATCTAGTCTGGACAGGATGCAAACAGCATTTGTATGAGGAGGAGGGCAGGAAAGTGCTGTGAGGGGAACATGTGGCTGAGCTCAGCACAAAAGCTGTGCTGCTGAGGGAGATGCTGTGTGGGGACTGTTACACAGAACCACACTGCCTATTTTTATACCTGCACCACATCTGTGGGGACTGTTACACAGAACCACACTGCCTATTTTTATACCTGCACCACATCTCTGGGGACTGTTACACAGAACCACACTGCCTACTTTTATACCTGCACCACATCTGCATGTCGGTGGCATGCAATCTGTTAATTGCAGCAGGGAGAGCCAGAGCTGAGTATTGGCTGCTAAGAGGTAGACTTGGAAAATGGCATTCCTCCTCTGCATATTTGGGATAAATGACTTTCTATACATTCCTTAATGGTCCGAGTAACAAATGTGAAAGTGAAGCAAACTGGCCAGATCCTTTTTCCAAATTCTTGTCAGTAGAAGAGAAAGCTTTATTTTTTCTGTCTTTTTCAAAGCAGGGGAAGAACATGGTGAGCCCTAGACCAAGTTGCAGTACCACCTGACTTCTGGAGAAGCATTACTTGTCCCTGAGCTTCACTTTTTTTCTAGTAGTACATATCCTGCCTTGAATAAGCATTAAATTGACAGGGATACAAAGAAAGGACCAATGTACTTCCTGCTGTTTTTTTCATTTGGATACTAAATGACAATGACTTGCAGAGCTATAAGCTTAGAGTGTGACACCTTAACGTTATGGATTGGATTTCTCTCAAGCCAGTTCACCCATACTCAGATGACTAGTTTTACCTAGACAAATCACTTCAAAAGGTCAGTTTGTTGTTTTTGCCAGCCTTTAGTTTTGAGGCTCAGAAAGCTTCTACAGAGAGCAGTGTTTTTGAGGCCTGGGTTAGGCTTTATTACTTTGAAAGCTTATCTGCTCTGGGACAGATTCAAAGCTGAATCCAGTCTTTTCAGTCTTCAAAGGCACCCTCACATGGCTGCTGAAGAGTTGCTGAAGTCTGCTGGGGTGTGTTGTCCTAGGCCTGTTTGTCACACACCGTGCCAGATTAAACCTGCTGTGTGTAGGGCTGGCTGCAGCCACTGCTGCACCCACCGTGCGCCTCTCAGCACTGCACTGGCAGGGAGCTGCAGTTTGCTCTGCAGGCAGCAATGCTCTTTTCCATGTGACACCTTAATGGCTCAGGCCACTCTGTCCCTGAGATGGGCTCCACATTATCATAGTGATTTTCAAAGGCCAGATTTTGGTAACATGTATTTGATATAGTACTGATTTATAGTACTGCATCTGAGGTTGAAGAAAGTTTAATAAATTTCAGACACTTTGAAAAAGCATTCGTTAAGATGTCTCCAAAATCATCTTGGTGCTCTGGCAACATTTTTGTTAAAGGTGATTTAACCTTAGAAATCTGGTGCTTTTCTGATAAAAGCTGATTCCTTAATCAGTCAGAAAGGATGTAAACTTTATTTGTATATCCTTTCATCTTTCTACTTGAATTCCCATCAGTTCTGTTCACCTTCCCTAATGACTCCACTTTTGCCTTCTCCTACCAGAATCTGTTTTATTCACCTAGCACAGGAAGGAATGAACCCTTGGCTCACCTTCAGTAAAATGTAAGGTCATTGGAGAACTTTTGGAGAAATACCACTTTATTTTGGCCAGTAATGTGCATACAGGAGAGTGAACAGATGGGAGAACACACAGCTCAGGATATGCAGCTTGAAAGAACTAGAAAACTGAGCTGGCTTGGAGAAAAACTAGATCCAAAACACGGTGGAATTACAAAGTAATCCCTGAAATATTGTGGAGTTGCTATGGAGACATGCAGGTGCTCAGACCAACACTGTAGACTAAAAAGATCATTTCTAATTATCTGGGAAAAATGAATTATGCTTTTCCACATAACTACTGTATGTATGGTAATAACTAAGGAGCAAAAAGGACACAGTTATACAACAGTTGTTACTATTCAGGGTTTCTGCCCCATACCCCTTTCCAGGTCTTTGTGCTAAAAGGAGTAAAGTATTTCTAAAAAAACATAGACTTATAACCATATGCTAGATCTGTGCTGCTTCTAGAGAGGATTGGAGTCTCCTGGGCATAGAGAAATTTTGCTTTGTCTTTTTAAATAAATTCAATAAAATTGTGTTTATTGTTGATGCCAGGTAAGGCCGCGTGTGTGCTCACAGTCCAGATCTCATGTGCAGGGCATTGGGGCAGCTCTCTGTGCAGATCAATCAGTTCTTCAGCTAAGTGTGATGTGCATTTCTAGGCACACATTCTCAAACTATGTTTTTTCTGTAACTCTGAGCTAGAGCTATTCAATTAGCAAAATTGAACTGTTCCGTTCTGTTCCCGTAATTTTTAAAACCTTGTATCTTCTACTGAGGTTTCAAACAGCAACACTAGCTGGAAGAATTTAATGTTTCCATTTGACTAATGGCCTTTAGCTTAAGCTTGCTCATTCTTTCCTATTTCTGAAATTAGCAGCAAGTTGGAGGGGGGAACATTGGCAACAGCTTAGGTTTGTATTTTCTACTGAGGGCTGAGAGACATTCAGGGTATTCCACAGTAGTGCTTGCCCTTCAGAATTGAGGCTTTAGTCTCAGTTCTGCAGTCCTGTATTCAGGAGGCCGCTGCTGAGACTTTAAGCCAAGAACAACAATGTGTTAAAATACTAGACAATAAAATACTTTCTGGGGAA